TCCCCCGGGCGGGGGGGGGCCTGCCCGCCCCGCTGGACGGTGCCCGGGGAGTGGCCATTAGGGTGTGGGAGCCGTGTTTCCATCCGTGACGCCCATGGCCTGGCAGCCAGCTGAGCAGTCGATGGGTTTATCGCTTCTTCAGTGGAGGGGTCACTGCGTGGGAATTCTCCATCCCTACACAGACTCCTCCAGGCCTTGCCTGTGCGGGAGACGTGCGCTGGAATGGGGCAGGGTGCCCATGCTAGCCATCTCGCACAGACGCTGTGCGTGTGTGTGTGCGCGCCGTGTGTGTGCGCGCACGCCGTGTGTGTCTGTGTGCGTGTGCCATGTGTGTGCGTGCACAGGCACTGTGTGTGTCTGTGTGCGTGCGCTCTGTGTGCGTGCACAGGCGCTGTGCGTGTGTGTGCGCGCGCTGTGTGTGTCTGTGCGCACAGGCGCTGTGTGTGTCTGTGCGTGCACAGGCGCTGTGTGTGTCTGTGCGCGCACAGGCGCTGTGTGTGCGTGCATGCGTGCTGTGTGTGCGTGCACTGTGCGTGCATGCGTGAGTGAGTGAGGAAATGCATTCCCCTCCCCTCTCGGTTTTAGTCCTTGCCTTTATCCCAGACATGCCTCTGGCTAATTTGCCCCTGGGAGGGGTCAGGATTTCTCTGTGTTGTCCGCTCCTCACGGCGATGGCTGTCCTTGGTGGCAGGTCTCTGTCCAGCCACGAGAGGCCGGCAGGTGCCTCCAGCTGCTCTCTGCAAAGGCTGTGACTGTGGGAGGAGGCGGGGGCTGGGAGAGAGGCTCTGAAGTAGAATCCGCTGGGGGCGTTGCTGGCGTGACGCTGTTGAACGGGCAGGGTGGGCTGCCTTCCCCTCCTGCGCTGGGTTTGTGATGGGCAGCGGCACAACAGTTTGACGGACCCGGACCGGGACCCGGACCCGGACCCGCTCTGATCTCTGCTGCTTTCCCTGTTACCAAGAGAAAGTCGCAGGGGTTGTGCCCAGAATCCCAGGCCGTCTGGAGGGCAGGGAGAGAGGGTTTCCTCACCGGCTTGTCCTCTTTTCTCTGCAGCTGCCAAAAGCCTCTTGAACAAGAAGTCAGACGGAGTGAAGGTGGGTCCCAGCTCTTCTGCCTCCCCTGCTTGCCCTTCTGTTTCCCAGCCAGCAGCCGGCTCCTAGGCCTGGCCTCTGAGGAATGGGTGGCTAGGGAGCTGCTGGGCCGGTGTGTCCGAGGGTTTCCTCCTGCCAAGCTTTGCTGCTGGCTGTTGCCTGAGGCAGAGCCCCGGGTCTGACCCGGGCTGGCTCCAGAGAGGAGATGTTGCTTTTTTGCAGAGCTGTTGTCAGGGGATGGCAAAGGCCGACAGACCTGTGGCTGTCTCCCCGTCTCGCCCTGAGCTCCCCGACAGGGCCTGTGGGGAGGGGGACCCCCCTCGGGGTCGGGGCAGGTGAGCATGGAAGGAGCCGCTGCGTTCTCCAGCCCCCGGGCCCGGGGCACTGCGCCCTGCTGAAGGACAGGTCTCCTGGTGCCGCCCGCGTCCCACCGTGACCAGTGCTTGTCCCGGGCCAGTGCCGTGCCACGGGGATGACCGTTCAGCTGGGAGCCCTGCGGTGCCGGAGCCCGGTGGTGTGTGTTGTCTGGCTGGTGGGGTGCTGGCTGGTCCCGCCCGTCCTTACACACACACTGAGGGGCGACTGACGCCGTGTGTGTGCTGCAGAGGATAGGTCTCAAGCCACCGCCTGTGTGCGCCTGTGGTGGCACGGGGGACAGGCCTGCTGCTGAATAAACCCCCGAGCCCTGTGGGCTCCAGTGAGCAGCCTTCGGTGCTGCAGGTCCGAAAGGGGCCGTGCCAGGGGTGGCTTACACCGGGCCAGAGCAGGGATGGACAGAAAACCCAGGGACTGGGGGATTCCGTGCCTGTCGGCACACGCCCCAGCACTTCCTTCATTCCTCCAGACACGCCTGCTTCGTGCTTCCAGGTGAAGCCCCAGTTTCCCTGGGAGCGACGGGGCAGGACTAAGGGTCACTTTTCAGAATGCAGCGGGGTAACTAGTGGTGTCCCCAGGGCCTGTGCTGGGTCCGGGGCTGTTCGGCTCATTCCTGTGTAATCTGGAAGAGGGTAAACCTTGTGGGGACGCGGTTTGCAAACTGTGCAGAATGACTCCCGACGGCGAAGCCCCAAGCTGCAAGTGAGGGGTGCAGGGGTCTCAGAGCGGGGTGCCTGAGCAGCTAGGCGGCAGATGACAAGTGCAAAGTAGCACACGTTGGAACACAGAATCCCAACTGCACATCTAAAACGGGCTCCAGAGTAGCTGTGGTCACTCACGGAAGAGCCCTGCGGAGAGTTCTCTGGACAGCTGCTAGGAGACTGTTGGGACTCATTGCAAAAGGGACCGACAGTAGCATGGAACATATCGTACTGCCTCTCTAGAAATCCGTGGTACGCCCCCACCGTTCTGAGCACCCCGTGGCAAAGCAGCTCTGCAAGACCAGGGCACGGTACGAGAGCGGCGTACCGATGACGAGGGGAGGCGCGATGAAAAAGACCGGGGCTTTTCTGCCTGGAGACGGAACGAGGGGATGTGCGCGGGGCTCTCTGGCGGGGCGTGACAAAGGCAGTGTGATTTACTCAACGCAGCAGTCCGCGCCTGTCCCATGGCACGACTAGGTAGCAAACAGCCTGAGGCACTGCCTCTCGGCACACGGCCAGCTTGCGGACTCACCGTCCGGACGCTGTGGAGGTCAAAACTAAACTGGGCTAGAGAAGTTCCTGGAGGACAGGTGCATCAGTGGCTGTTAATTACCCAGGGTGCAGCCCCCTGCTGTGGGGGGCCTTCGCCTCGAATTCCAGAAGCTGGCGTGCGCGAGAGGAGGGTGTCGTAGGAAGACAGCCTGAGAGAAGCCCTTGTCACTGGTCTTGCATGAAGTCTGAGCTAATGTAGTGAGCAAGCCAAGCGAAGTTAGCAAACATCAGGCTCCAATTGGCTGCTGGTGCAGAAACACACATTCCTAAGATGTGCTAGGCACAGAGCGGCCACACCCACACTTCCAGAGGGGTGGTACCAGAACATCCCGATATCAAGGATGGTAAAACAAAATTCCGCAGGGTGACAGGAACACACTGGCCCCTCCTAGAAGAGAAGGCCGGGATGGCGGTGCCATGAATCCAAGCAAGACATCCAAGGAGCTGGGGGACAAGGAGCCATGTTGGGGCAGTACGTCCCTTGTCTGCACGAGGGTATGAAGAGGTATCTCTGAGTGAATATCCTGGGCCAGCCGAGCAGGGAATGGAAAGTCCTGCCAGACAACCATCATCCCCGGCAGGCACGTCCTAGTACCCTCGGTGGTAGTAACCGTGATCGGTCTATGCTGCCTTCGTCCCTTAGCGGATCTTACAGTCCTTGGGCGGCCTGTTGTGCTGGCTGTTTGGGCAGAGCCAGGGCAGCACGCGAGGAGAGCGTCCATGTAGCCAAGCATCTAATCACTGTAATTGCCTGCTCCGCTCCAGCTCCTCTGGGGAAGTGAGTCTTGCCCGCGAAAGCTCATGATACTGCAGATGGATTTGTTAGTCTCCAAGGTGCCGCAGGACCGGCCACTCATCTTCAGCGGATAATGAATGTGGCCGCTCGCTAGCTGATGCTGCCCATCGCTGTGTTAAGGCCTTTTGGACAAGGACTGTCTCATGCACAGGGGCCCGGATCCTGACCGGGTTACATGGTGGCAGTCTCGTAGGACAGTGTTGCCTCATCCGAACAATCACAGGGACAGGAAAAGCCATAAATACGAGACGTTTCTTACCGTCACCGTGGGCTCAGGCGTATTTCCAGCATCTGTAAACACGCTTGGTTTTGGCTGCCATTAAAGAGAAGAGGCGAGGAGTCCTGTGGCACCTTATAGACTGACCACAGTGTTGGAGCATGAGCTTTCGTGGGCAAAGACCCACTTGGTCAGATGCCGCTTTTGCAGATTCAGACTGACACGGCTACCCCTCTGGTTCTTGCCATTACAGAGGAGAAAACGCCTTTGGCTGGCTGTCGAGCGAAGCATTTCTCCCTGCTTTTTATTGGCTGTTAAAATACAGGTGCTGCTCCGCTGGTCACTTGGCTCATTGCCATTGGCAGGTGGTTCTCATCAACACCTTGAGACGAGAGGATGGGGCTATTTACACCGAGTGTGGATGTGGGCTGCAGGTGCTGCAGGTGGTTTATCCTCTCTGCAGGGGTAACCGCCGTACCGTTCCTGCTGGTGTGCCAGAGCCTCCTGGGCGGGCACGTGAGTGGAGAAGGGTGGCTTGGTTTGGATACCATTCCAGCCCTGACGCACGTGCTGTATCGCACTCGGCAGTCTGGTGGCTGGCATGGCAGCTGCATTTTTCTCCCGACAGACTGTATTAGCAGATGCCCACGTGGTCTCAAGTGTGCTTTAACATGGATGCTTCTTTGGTACGTTCTTGAACACAGCTGAACCGTAGCGGCGCCGAGGTCTGTCTTGTGGAACCACCTTAGGGTTGGATTAGCTTCCTTAGGGCTGCGGGTGATAAAATCTGTTCATCCTCTTCGTATCGCTTGTCTGCTGTGTTCCCCCTGTTCTGCGGGGTGGGGATCAGTGTTCCCTCTAACATTTCCTTGGGCGGGTCGACATTTCTTATGCGCAACCCTATGATTGAGGTAGTGTGTGGATGTGCACCACCAATACAAACAAAAAACCACACACATTTTATATAGAGATAGAGAGAGAGAGAGAGAGAGATGTGGACGCCCCAGAACAAATACAGTAACACATGGCTTCAGGGTTTGTAGACAGATGCTGATCCGGTTTCATCCTACATAACAGCTAGCGTCACACCTAGTACTTGCTCTGTCTGACTCACGAGCCAGCACGCTACCGCATAGCAAAGAGCTGGCCTCAGTACAATGCAGTGACCCATGTATTAATACCACGGGATTTCAAAAGCGATGACGAGCAGAGTTTGATCCTCCCAACCCTCCTGTTGAGCCACTAACATCTGTGTAAACTTTGTCTGAAATGTAATCTAGCAAGTGCCCTGGCACCCCTCCCCCCACGCAGCCAGCCCCTTAGCTCCCCTTCCCAGGAGGTGTGACAGTGCCGAGTTCCTGCCCCTTTCCTGGCACAGACGGGACTCTCCCAACTCCCCTCCCCTCCCCTCTCCTCTGCCCACACACACCCTCCCTCACTCCCCCCGCCTAGCTCCCTGCTCAGGGAACTGCCCTGTGTGCTCCTTGAGACGCTGCCCTCCCCGCCGGTCAGCTGAGCTCCCTGCCACGGGAGAGTGGAACTTGGGAGCACAGCTCAGAGACCAGCTGCACGGCCACACGGCTTCCAGGGGCCAGGCAGGGCCCGTCACTTTCCCAGTTGGTTACTGTTGTTTGCATTGGAGCTGCAGTGTGCTTAGCGGGTTACGGTTTGCTAGAGGCAGAGATTCCCTCCTCCCCGAGTAATTCCTGGGGCGAAGGGGGGGGTGTTCCTTGGTCAGGCCCTGCCTTTATACTGTGACCTGCCAGACAGGGTCTTCGCTGGTTATTTGGTCCGTTAGGCCAGCGTTCTTGGTGCTGCTGTATGAGTGGGAATTGAAAACTGCCCTGAAGATCTGTGTGTCTCGTCCCCTCTGCCTCCCCC